TAAAATCATTCTTCTTTACTTATCCTGAATGTAGCTGAGGGCATTCTGGAAGAACAGTATTTTTCTAGAATACACTAACTTAATTTTCACCACTATTATCAACTTCAGTACTGACTCTGAATAGAGCTTGTCAAAGCGACCTTTCAAATTTTCCAAAACAGAAGAAAAGGGTATAAAATGTTGTAAAGCTGAGTTCTAGAAACACATTTAAGGTAGATGTCTCAGTGGGGGAAAGTGAGCTTGACATTAATTCTTGTCTTTGAGAACGTATGGCAGTTTATCACTTCATATTTCCTATAAAACCATACTTAAAGAATTTTTTTATTTGACCTGCTATGAAAACAAACTGCAGGAATATAAGCAGGCTTATGGGAGAAGAAATTCTTGCAGAATTGACCTGAGCTTGAAGTTAAATTGTGGAAATAAAATTCAGTTGCTTTGTAAGTATCAAAAAGAGCAAGGGAGTCCCTGCCCCTGCCCCTACCTCTGGCCTGCCTTACCCTGCCCTGGCCATGTGAGCACTCAGCTAGCCTCTTTCTAACTTTAGTTTTGCCTCTTTAGGGCCTTGTGAGGAAGAAACTTGGTGGAAGTTTACTGAAGCCCTGAAGATTATTATAAGAATGAGAGAATCTGTGATGTGCATCAATCAAAACCCAGGATTGACAGCTCCTGAAACACATTTTCAAGAGAAAGCCACATAATGTCATGAAAGATACCATCCCGGCAGATGAACCATTCTCAGCAGAAACGCAATAACGAAAAACCACAAGCAGCTAAATGAATTAAGGAAGGCAGTGCAGGATCAGGAGGACTGACAGGAGTTACAAAAGAAATGAGGAGAAAAGCTAGAAACATTAGTTGGCAGCCTCGGTAACAGATTAGATCAAGCAGAAGAAAAAATGACAGAGCTTGCAGACAGACCACTGTCTGTTAGTGTCAGACAGAAAGAGCAAAAGAGAAAGAGGGAGGGAGGGAGAAGAGAGAGAATGCAAGAGCTTTGGGATACCCTTCAAAAGCCAAACAATCAGCTCATTGGCGCACGTGAGGAAGAACAACAACAGTCTGAGGGCATAGAAAACCTCCTCAGAGGCCTGCTGTCTTTTGACGGGAGAGACCCTGGGAAGAGAAGGATGAGGAAACTGTGGTCTGGATGTAATATATGAGAAAAGAATAAAAGAAAAAAAAAAAAAAAGAAAAGAAAAACTCACCAAATTTTAACAAACACGTGGACACCCAGGTGTAAGAAGCATTGAGAATCTTAAATGCACATAACTACAGAAATAGGGCACCATGATATGTCATTGCGAAGCTGATGAAAGTATAGGATCAAAAGAATATTACAGTCTGCTAGAAAGAAATGTCAAGTAACATTTAAAGGCAAATATATTAGACTAATGGCAGATTTCTCAGCAGGAACTTCAAATGCCAGGAATGTATGGAATGATGTATTTCCAGTCCTGAAGGAAAATAACTACCAACCAAGACTGCTGTATCTAGCAAGGCTGTCCTTCCCAGCTGAAGGATAAGCAAGTACCTTCTGTGATAAGGATAAGCTAAGAAAACTCATGGCCACTAAACCAGGAACACAAAAGATGCTTAAAGAAATCCTATATCCAGAAGAGAAAGAATTTAATAAATACCACCATTAAGAACATGAGTAAGTCCCACTAGAAAAAGAGATTCGCCAATGAGGAGTAAGAAAGACTGCTAATACAGCAAACCCCCTAATTTATAAACAGGAATGAATGACCAAAATACATTCAAAACTATTTGAAAAAAAAATCAGAATGTGATGTGGATCTATATGCCAGGTGTTGGAACAGCACCTAATTTTATAAAAACAAAATATTACTAGACATAGAAAAGAGAATTTTGGCTCCCATGCAACAGTGGGTGGATTTTAACAACAAGAACCAACTTTGCGTAACTGGAGAAAAGATCCCAAAATTTATGGGAGAGCACAAAAGACATTAAGTAGCCAAGGAAACCTGCGCAAGGAAAACATTTCAGGATGTTAGCACTCGAAGGTTTCCTAGATACGGCTTAAAAGGTAGAGAAGACAGGAACTGACTCCTGGAATTACATGCCACGTGTCTGCTCCGCAAAGCTGATGGTCTCGCTCAGTTGGCCTCTGGAATGAAGCAGCCCGCGGTGGTTTGGAGAAGAACAGCCCCCATCAGTTCACGCGTTTGAACACTTAGTTTGGGGAGAAGCAGGAAGTGTGGCCTTGTTGGATGAAGTGTGTTTCCAGGGTGGGCTTGAAGTTTCAAAAGACGATTCCACAGGTGCTCTCTGCTTCCTGCTTGTGGTTTGGGCCCGTGAGCTCCCCTACGTTCCTGATGCTACGCCTTTTCTGGGCTACCATGGACTCCTAACTCTGTAAAATCTATAAAACCTAATTAAATGCTTTCTTCTTCCTCCTCCTCCTTCCTCTTTTTTTTTTTTTTTTTTTTTTTTTTTTCCTTCTTCTAGTCTTTTGAGACAGGGTTTTTTTTTTTGTAGCCGTGGATGTCCTATTAGACTAGGCTGGCTTCAAACTCAGAGATCCTCCAGCCTCTGGCTCCTGAGTGCTAAGATTAAAAGCATGCGCCACCACCACCCAGCTAATAAAAAAAAAAAATCAAAAAAACAAACCAACTAAACAACAAGAACAACAAAAACAAAAAGAAATGGAAGGACCTGGGGAAATGGCTCAGACTTTAAACTGTTTGCCAGGCAAGCACAAGGACCCGAGTTCAGATCCTCTGCCCTTATGTTAAAAAGCCAGGCACCAAGTGAGGAGCACAGCCAACACTGATGCCTGGCATCGACAGGCAAACACAAAAGCATGTGCACACACGCATGTACGCATGTATACACACATGGCACAAATTACAAACCTGGGCTATTAGCACTTATTCTAGTGGGCATCTTATCTCTGCCTTGGTTTTCAGTTAAGGAAAATGCTCAAGTGACCACAACTGATTTCACTGGGGTAGAGCAATCGAGTCATCAGGGCTACACATGCAAGCGGGTGTCAGAAGGTCATGAGGCTTGCTGTTTGTGTGACCTCAGCTGGGCTTAAGGTTGTACAGAGTGCAAGAAAAATTTAAAAGTGCAACACAGGTGTGAGATATTGGTTTAGAGTAACATACAAAACAAACATTTTATATAGATCATATGGCTCATACATCTGACCTGTGACAGTAGTTACTGTTAATACCAAAAGGTCATATATATATATATATATATATATACATACATACATACATACATACATACATACATACATATATATATGTATATATATATACATACATACATATATATATACATACATACATACATATATATATATATATAAACTCTATACACTAACCACATGATTCGCAAAGCAAAAAGACAACAGGAGACTACTTTAGGGACAATGGCTTCAGTGCACAAAAGAGGACTCGCTAGGAGTAAGGAAGAAACTGGATTCGTTACCAAAAGCAGGTGGGCCAGCCTCACCTGCTCCTGGGAAGCCTGATGTTTAGACAGGTGGCTAACGGTAAAGACCCTTGTTGTCTTACAATGTCCAGGAACAGAAGGTGTGTGTCATGTTTTAAAAAACGGCAGTGAAGTCTTGCACCGTCAAACCACAGGAAGAATGGCTCAAATGCAACAGGAAGCATTTCATAAGGCTACCAACCACGGGAAAGCTGGCCATGAATACAGCCTTCAGACAGGCTTCCCAGCAAGCCAAGTGGGGTCCCCACACTGAGGTTCACCTCACTAACAGGCTACCAAAGTTCATTTCCTTATGTTCACTCCGAGAGGGTAAAAATATGGGGTGTTATCTGGGACAGCTAGAATCCCGGGGTAGATGGCTGTAACTATGAGAGCTTCAAACCCAAAGGCATGGAGTGGGGGTTGTCAAAGATAGAATTCTATTTGATTTGATAATATGCTACCAACACCTCTGAGAAAAAAAGTAAAAAGAAACAGAGTTCCTCCAAGATGCCCCCTGCCCTAGGCCTTTATCTAACTGCCCCTGCACCAAATTTTATTGATGTGAACAATGAGGGAGAGATAGCAAGAAGGGGATGGCCCTTGCCAACCTGCAGAACTTGAGCGACACTATCCTCTGTTTAGGGTTTTTGTTTGTTTTTTGTTTTTTTCACGTGAAGGACAGGAGCACAGGTCCACACACTGTCTGGTCACATTCAAACTTCCCCCTATCTACCTCCTGATATAACACAAACCCCACTGGCCCTCCGGTGGCAGAATATGCAATTCCTAAGAAAGCCTCTAAGCCCTGACTGACCAGACGCCAAAGGCCCGCAGCCTTGCTTCTGAGGATCTATAACCTTTCTATAGTTCTTTAGGTCATCATGACATTGAGCTGCTGCTCTGTAATCACAGTAGGAAATTAAATGTCATGAATCTCCGAAGTTATGAAGATTTTATCTCACAGGAACAGAAGCAAAATCAAAACTTCAATGGGGTACTGTGGTGTAAGCCCAGTAATTGGCGGTGGGGGGTTAGGCAGGAGGTTAGAGAAAGTCAAGTCATGTCAACACGAGAAGATGTCTCAGAGACAAATGCCAACAAAACAATGTTTAAGATGCAAGAGCAAGTGAGTTTGTTCTTGGTGCTTGTCTGAAAACAAAACACAGCAAACAAAACCCACAAAGCTGACTGATCGTAGCAGCTCCACCAACTGATTAAGCATGGAGTCTTTTTGAGAACCCTTTTGATTTTACACAGCATATTCCAGCAGAGTATCTGCTTTGTCTACTATGAACAGAAGTGAATTCACACGTTAGGAATTATGTTGATAGGTTCCTTTTGGTATCAGAAGAGCAATGGTATAGAAATGATCACTGGAGCAGAAGGGGAGAAAAAGGAAGAGATAACTATGTAGCTATGACCTCAGTGTACTGGCCTCTGACTAGTTTCAAGTGAAGTAGCCAAGCCTTCCGTCATACAGGTCTTGCTCAGAGGGAAGGTGTACCGGGAGTGCCTGGGCAGACACTAACTTTCCGAGTCAGGGGATGGCAGCTGTCTCCCACTTGGCCCATAGGCGTGCATATCCTGATGCTCTTGACCCAGATACTGACGGCGCAGCACATGCCTCCTCCACACTGAGAGTCCTTGTCGCAAGCCTGAAATGAAATAAACCAACAGATAAATATAGTAGGAAAGGCCCAGGATAGGAAGCTCTAAAATTAGCAGGGAAAACCCTCTTTAAATATCCAATTACCCAGCCAGGATAGTACTCGCCACACAGACACGAGGACACGAGTTCAGTCCTCACGTCCCCCATGGAGCACCAGACACTGTGGCTTGCACGTGCAATTCCAGCTCTGGAAAGATGGAGGCAGGTGGATCCTTGGGGGCCAACCAGTCTAGCCAAATTGGGACATTCTATGCCAGGGAGAAAGTATGTCTCAAAAGATAAGGTGGGCCACACCTGAGTTTAACCCCTGTCTTCCACACACATGCCCCACACCCAACATGTACACCAACATACACTCCCCACACACACACACACAAAAAAAATCCTAAGCACCAATTTTAATAAAATAGAACCACAAGCTCCACTTGCTTGTCTATCCTTACAATCAACACTGATCAGAATGTTTCCATGAACTAAAGAGCTCCTATATGATGAAACCCAGGATCAAGGAAGGAGGGACAGGAGGACTGGAGGACAGGGGGGAGGGGGCGGGGGGACATGACGAAAACAACATCTCAATTCTCTTCCCTTGATGCTTTATGGCTGAGCTTGAAGAAGGAGTTTATGCTAGTTTTCACTCTACACAGTCATAAGGAACTACACAAACCACAAGATTTTATGACTATTAACTGCTGAATATATGGGGCCTGGTTTCTTTTCTTTTCTTTTTTTTTTTTTTTAAGAGATTGAAATGGCCCCTACATTTGGCACAAACCACTGCAGACTTGTGAGGGCACCAATGTAACCTCCAGAAGTGCTCATTTTCCCTTCCTGTGCTTAGTGAGACTGGGTGCTTCTTGCACAGGTTACCTGATTTTCACCATTTCCTCTTTCAAAATAAGAACTGTCCGAGGATGGGAGGGGACAGAGCAAGGCTGTCCCCACTGGTCTGTGAGACTGACAGGCAGAAAGGAACTGGCTGGCTTAGGATGAGCAGAGGTGTATATTAGAAACTCAATCGAACTGGTCCCTAAGGTCCAAAGCAGGTGAGGAAAGGCACAGATGCCATCAGCAGCAGTCATTCCTCAAAGGACACACCCGGCACACAAGGACCACAAAAACACACAGCCTACACTTATGTGCCTGAGAATCTATCTTAAGGACTAGAGCTCTTTCTGAGCACCACCAACAAAGTGGGATGCCTTGTTTCGACAACGTAAAGAAATCTGTTTTGTGCTTCAAAATAAGTAGTGGCTGAAAATGACAACTTTAACTTTGGATGGCTTTTTTTGGGGTGCGGGTGGTGATGTTTAAACACTCCCTCCTTTTAATTTTTGTCTGGACATCGGAAATCCTGCAAATATGACCATCAGAGCCCTATGTTAGGGCTACTCAACAGTCATTTGCAATGTGGTTTTAACACATCTATATGAAGATATCAAGTTCAAAGACCATGAGCACACACATATGTGTGTGTATGTGTGTGTGTGAGTATGTGTGTGTGTTAAACACTTAAGGGGGGGATGTTTCAGCCAGTGTTTTAGTAGATATACAAAACGCTAACTACTGAAGCCCCATCAGCTCTTTTTCTAAGATGATTTAAAAAAAAAAAAAAAAAGCCAGGCAAAATCTTTTAAAATCCAATCAATCACTTAGACGCTCATCACCTTGTATACACTATATCTAGATAAATCACTGACTTTTTCATTTGAATCCAGATGGTTTCTGTCAGGGAGATATAACTACGTTTTATTGCCACGTTGCTTTAGAGAATAAATTTTCCAACACTTTTTTTTTCATAACGTTGAATTAACAACAACAACAACAAGAAGCCAAGAGGCCACGTGACTGTATGCACAACTCTCCCAGCCCCACCAGCGTGTAAACATGAAATAAAAATTTCATTTTATAACACAAAGCTCCAGTTGTTGGAAATTTACAAAGAGTTGCATAAGTTTATATCTTTTTAATTAGACAGCTGTTTCCTAGTACCCTTCATTCTTCTTAACCCATTGCAGAGCCAAGCAAACAGGGTCCTCCTGTGAATGGAACAAAACCACGCTGGCACTACCCAGGAACCTTGGGGCTTAGAGGATTAGGAAACACTTAGAATGAACCAGCAGGGGAAGGAGGGAAAAAATCCAACCCAATCATGTTTCCATTCCCATGTGCTACAAAGACACTGTAGAAACTTTTGTTCACGCGCACCAACTGGCTACTGATGAAGCTATATAAGTGGGTTTAAAAAAAAAAAAATCTCTGCTCTAATAAATACCGCAAAGCATAGAATAACTATCTATGGGGCAGAACTCCATGCTGTCGTAGCCACGGTGCTTTCAGAATGCAATCTATACACAAGGGGAAGACGGAGAACATCCATCTTTCTTTATTCACCATTGAGCCTCCTCTTAAATGACATGTTATTTTATTACCTGTATGCCATTGTTCCGAATACATCTATATTAAAATCCAGTAGTGTGCTCTTAGATATTAAAAAGTGATTTAAATAAATAAATCTAGTAAAAAAAAAAATGCTAACAACTTTTTTTTTTTCTTTGATGAGTGAAACAACAGCCAACAGCCGAGGTTCTGCCGGGCTGTTCAAACAGACTTCTGAAATTCTGTGCTGTTCAGATAGACGAAAAGGAAAGCGTCGAAAGTCTTGAAGGAATAGGCTCTTTCTAAGCAGGGTGAAGATATTCTGTTGAGTTTAAACAATGTCTAGTGACAGCCTGCTCCATCAATAAACCCTATGAGTGAGGCATCAAGAATCCAACTCGACAATTTATGTGACAAGAACTTCACTCTGTGTGTGTGTGGGGGGGGCGTTGGTAAAGAATAATATTAAAAAAAAAAAAAAAAAAAGAGCAACTGCCCCAGAACACAGTAAGAAGAGCTCACAAGTGCTTTCCAAAACTCACACGTGACCCGGACCCAAGGTAAGACCCACGGGAGCCGTAGAATTTGAGGTATATGTTTTGCTCTTTCCTAATTTAAGGAAGGGTGGCCAGCTTTTGGGCCAGGGGTTTTCCAGCTCCTGGAAAAGAACTTTCTCACTGGGGAAGAAACTTCTTTGAGCTACTCAACAGAACAGCAGACCAAACCTGAGGGGTACAGAGGTAGAGGTGAGGAAGGCAGAGGCTGAGGCTGTCCAATTCCGTAATGCGCCTGGCTGCAACCTGCCTTGGGAGTAGGGCGTGTTCCCAAGTGCCCAAAGGACGATCTAGGGGGGATGTCACCCGGGGCGAGCCCTTCCCGGTGCCCTAAGACCCCAGGCCTAGTGTCTCCGGGGGGCGATCCGGGGGCGCGACAGGTGCGCGAGCAGCTTACCCCGGTGATGACCGCGGCGTCCCCGGCGGGCGGCGAGAGCATCAGCGGTAGCAGCAGAAGTAGCAGTAGCGGGGCACAGCGCGGGCCCCCCATGGCTCCCCGGAGACACGGTGGCGGTGGAGGCACGCGATCGGAGACGTTGGGGGAGCCGGGACGTTGGGGACGCGTGGCCGGGCTGTTCTGCCGAGCCGCGAGCCTGGCGGCGGTTATAAAGGCGAGCCCCGCGGGTGACTCACGCCAGGCAGCACGCGGGGGACACGGCGCGGGCACACACCCCGAGCCCCGCCAGCCCACGCGCACGTGCCCCCCGCTCCCCACGAGCACGGGCGCCACGCGGGCAGAGCCCCCCGCGGGGCGCCGCAGCCCCAGCCAGCCTGCCTGCCGCTTTTGTGGTCTCAGAGGCCGCCCCCCCTCCTCCGTTGTCCTGCTTTTCAGGGCTCCACGTGCCTCAGCCCCCCACACTCGTAGACGCACATCATTTGCTATACAGATGTGCGCGCGGGAGGGGGGGTGGGTACTACCCACGACGTGCCAGGCGCGGCGGACACAACTGCCCCGTATTTGTATACACATTTGTTCAGCACGTCTCCAGAGAGCGCTGTGTGCGTGCCAGGTACTGCCACCGGCTCTGAGGTGGCACAACTTAGGAAGGACAGAAAACAAACCAACAAACGGGAAGTGTGTGTAGTGGGGTGGAAAAACGGAGCACCATGCACACCCCTAATCCCACGTCTCTTGCGAAGTGGAGGGACTCAACTGCCTCTCCAGCTGTGGGAGGCTCCCTTACTTTTTTGAAATGACTTCCCCGGGTGCCCACATCTGCTCCTGACCCTCTCCGCCCTTATTTCCCTCACGTGCATTCCCTCCCCTCGTCGGCAGACAGCTTCTAGCCAGCTTCAGGCGGAGCAGGATGCTGCCAAGGGGGTTGGGGGTTGGGGGAGAAGAGAACTCCCCAGATTGTTCTGCCAGCCTGAGGCCCTGGGAAGGTGGCTCTCTCCCAGCTCTGTTCTCCAACCCAGGAAACTCCAAGTCTTCTGTGTGATTCCTTGGTTCAGGTCAAACACTGTTGTGTGTCTGCTGGCTCCTAGGTCCTCCAAGAGACAGGGGACAACTTTGTCCTTTCTGTGTCCGTAGGGTGGCTCCAATGATCTCACCTTGCTTGCTTCTACAGGGACGATCAGTTTGACTTTTTTTCTGGGGTTTTGGGGCGCCCACCTTCCTCCTCCAAGGCTAGGGACCTCAGACTTTCTCATGTCCCTTAGGACCACTGACTGCTGAAGGGCAGATGGGCCTTTTCAGCCTCTTTAATCAATGCAGTAAGGAGAGCCGGGCCACAGTTACTTTCAGACTGTGGGATTCCCCCATGCCAAAGCATTCAGACGAAATGTAGAGGGGAAAAAAAAAATGAACAAAGGGCCAGGGAATTATTTGAATGTTAAACAGCTGGGCATTTCAAGCCCTAGATCTTTGGCTGAGTTTTAAAGCCGTTTGTACCATGGTTTTGAGTTCAAGAAGCATCCTGAGGCTGAAAACACAAACGGGATCAAACTCATTTTTAACTTTGAGAAAACTGTTAAAAGTAGATTCGCAGTAGAGTAAGTGGAAACAGTAGCAAGTGACTGACTGGTGGAAAGTTTCCTTTTCCAGTCTCCATGCCAACGGGGGCATGGAGTGCAGCCCCGGGAAATGTAAAAAACAGTCAACATGGACTTTAACATTCCTGCCACTTTTTAAAAATTTTTTCTTAAATGGTCCGTTTCATATTTGTTACTATCAAATGCCAACTGGGTTTTCCCTACTTCTCCAAGCATAGAAAATGGGCCATCTCTACATAGTTCTGGAAATGCTAGCCTTCTATCGAGACCAGCTTTCTTACAGGGCTGTTTGCAAAACAGTCCTCTAAGATTTAAATCAAGGTTGAAGCCGGGCACAATGGAACATGCCTGTTCCCTCAGCCTGCTCTACAAAACGGGGACAGCCAGGGCTACCCAGAGAAAACCTGTCTCAAAAATAAATAAATATTGGAACCTTTCAATGGCTTTACTAGTGAAAACTCTTCAACACTACTTCTCTGAGCAAGTTATCAGATCGGCTCTGATTTCAATTCTCAGGAATGGAAAGATGCAGCTTGGATTACTGCTGTCTTACCCCTTCGGGAGGATTGGAACAATGATTAAACTGAAGTCCTGTTTTGTTTCTGCAACCTGTCATGGGGTCAAGTTAGCTGGACGAGGACTAAAACTTGTGGGTTCAGAGTATGGACTGGCAGCCCAGCAGGCTACCACTGCTCAGCTGATTTGACAAGGTGATACAAGAGCACCCAAATAATCCAATGTTTGGGAGTTAGAGGGACCTGAATTGGAATCTTTCATGGCAACTGGACTGGCCTTCGACCCCTCACAGTCTCTGCTTTGTTTCCTATGAACTGGGCATAAAATGCCAACTTCCTGGGGTCCAGCCAACATGGGGCTCAAAGGGAACCCATTTGAAAGTGTTTCACACCAGGGGGGATAGACTGACAGTTATACAAGGGGGCCCTCTCAATAAATCTCTCCCCTGATGGGTTCATTGAACAGTGATACAGCTGTTTTCTGTCCTGCCACCTCATTAGATCACACACACACACACACACACACACACATATGCTGGCAGGAGCCAATTTTCCCCCGAAAACCCTTGCACCCGGCCTTAGCCAGCACCCAGAAAATGACTAGTGAGCAGCAGGAGTGTGTTTACGGACGGAGACAGGTTACAAGCAAATGGTGCACAATGCAGGTGTACTTTATCTGTTCGGACCGTGAAGGCAGTTGGCTGAGAGGGACAGGGAGACCTGGTACCGGGGGCTCACCTGCTGTTTCCTCCAAGAATACGGAGGTGCCCCTGGAGAAGTGTCTCACAGCTGTCAGAGGTACCCCTGGCACCTGTGACTTTATTTGGAAGCAGCGTCTCTGCTGATATAATCAACCAAACTCAAAGTCATATTGGATGAGAGTGTGTCCTAAATCCAACGACTGATATCTCTGTAAAACAAAACAAAATAAAAGTGTGGTTTTGTGTGTGCGTGTTCGAGAGTGTGTGCATGTATACGTGTGGCCCACATACACACAGCGTATGTGCAGGTCAGAAGACAACCCTAGGTACTATCACCAGGTGCTTCCATCTTTCGTTTGAGACAGGCTGAAACTTTGCCACGTAGGTCAGCCTCGCTGGCCTGTGAGCCTCAAGGAAGCTGCCTGCTTCAGTCTCCCATTTTAAGCATTGTTGGGATGGCAGACTCATGTCACCACAGGCTAATGCCACCACACCTGGCTTTTTATATGGGCTCTGGAAACCGAACCCAGGGCATCATGCTTGTGAGGGGACCAAGCTATCTCCCCAGTTTTTATAACAGAAACAAGTTCCTTGGCTTCAGAGACTGAAATGACACACCTATCAACACCTCCCCCACCACCCTTCCCCATAGCTAGCTTCCAGAACCCAGAAGAGTAAAGCATCTTCCCAGAAGGCCTCACAAAGAGAAGGCCCCGTCCACGCCTTGATGTTGGCCTACTGACCTCCGGAACCACAAGAGAATAGCTTTTGGTGTATGAAGCCACCCATTCCTGCTCACCTCTCTGGGCACCTCTGGGAGACTAACAGGGAGGGCGGGGCAGGATGATTGCACATCAGCTCTCTGCTGCCTCTGCCTGGAACTCCAGCCTGACTGTGCAGTGACTGAAACAAGTCACGTGATAGTTCACCTCACTAAGGACAGCAGTGCAAATGTGGTTGGTGTTAAGAACCAGAAATCTGCTGAGCAGGGCCAGATTCTACAGGAAAGGAGCCATTGGTGGCTTGGGCCCCTTAAAGAGCTCAGTGTACTTTGACTGATCTTAATAATTCTTACTACAAAGGATAATATGTTCCTGTATTGTTTTTTTTTTTTTTTTCCTTGTTCAGTACTTCAAGTGATACAATGTGAAACAGTAAAAATGTGCAAGCTGGGAGTGTTTTAAGTAGTAAATCTTCATTCATTCACTTATTCAACAGGTACAAATTATATACCAAGCATTGAGCGAAGCGCCGAGTGGTGCAGCACATATTTGCTGACCAAAGTCCTAGGAACTTGGTGGAGATCGTGAAGGATGACTGAGAGTAGCCATGATCCCACCTCCTGATGGGAGAGCCAGGCAGAAACCTTGCTGGCAGTCAGGAGAAAGAGGTGTAAGGACTACAGTGAGTGGGAAGGAAAGCAGAAACTCCAAGATTCATTGTGTGAACTGGCTGACAGGAGGGATACTGATGCTCACGTGGGTGTGGGCAAAGGCAGTCAGACAGACAGACAGATGGGGTGGAGGGGACGGATGTGCTAAAAACCAGTGGTTTCTTATTGGACTCTTAAAAATTCCCATTCCATGTAGTGTAGGCACAATGACTAAGATTTCAGGAAAACTGTGATCTGCTGTCTGTTTTTGAGATGGTTGTTTGTTTGGCTGTTGCTGTTTTTTTAAAGTTTTACTAGGACCCAGCCATGCCTGTTTCTGCCTGTGGCTGGTGTTTACTGAGTATATGTGAGATCACGTGATCCCAAAAGCCCAAAAAAAAAAAAAAATTACTATCTGTTAATGTAGAGAAAGCTTGCTGATTGCTAGTGTGTGTGTGTGTGTGTGTGTGTGTGTGTGTGTGTTTGTGTGTGTGTTTGAGAGAGAGAGAGAGAGAGAGAGAGAGAGTTGTATGCACATGTGTGCATGGTTTTGTAGAAGCCAGAGGACAGCCTTAGCTGTCATTTCTTCAGGTGCCTTTCACCTTGCACTCTGAGACAGGGCTTCTCACTAGGCCTGGGACTCACCGAGTAAGCTCCGCTGGCTGGCCAGAGAGCCCCAGAGAGCTGCCTATCTCTGCCTCCCCAGCTCTGGGCTGATATGTATATACTATGATATGTACACCAGTCTGGCTTGTTTTTCTTGGGTTCCAGTCAGCAAACTCAGCCCCATGTGCTTATGGCCGAGCTGTTTCCTGGCTATGCTGTCTCTGGATCCAAGTGCTAAAAGAGAGCCTAGAGTTTTTGTACTGTCTCTTACTGCAAGTTTATAAAATCTTACTGATTTTTGCCACCATTGCCTTTGCTTGAACCTCGGGTGGGGTGTACTATGGAGACCCCA